CCCGATTAGCAACTGTTATTCAATATTACACCTTCTCGTAACTAACGTTTAGGGGTCATCAAGGTTGCCTGTGCCACTGGGGAGCACGCTGCAGAGGAAAGGGTGGTGGTTGTGCACTGTGTCACTCTATATATAACGGCAACCGGCACCCCACGCGATATTAAGAACGTTCACCGCATCTGCGGTAACATGGTTTCCAGTTACAAGGTACTTACTTACTCCTCGAAACGCTCACGACTCGCAAACCAGTGTGGTTTGTGGCAACATGTTCGCCATACCCGGCGACTGACCGATCGGTATCGACCAATTGCAAACGCTAATTATAAGCCAGTCAAATTTAATCAAGCCACGAAGTCGTAGGATGTATTCATCGTGCTTTCACTCTTCGGTGATTGTGGATAACCCAGTGCATCGTTTCGCATCAAAGTGCACAGTTTCCATGGTTCGCGAGTGTTTCCTACGAAAATCAAACCTGTTCGCGTTCAGTGACAAGTGTCTTTCGAGTGAATCTTCTTATTCCTAATTTTCATCGAACCTTCGTGGTCCTATACTGAACTCCACGCTCAGTTTTCTTTCAATCATTCTAACTTCTGTTTGCAATGTAACGTTGACTGTGTCCCAATGTGCCTTACTTGACAGAAATGTAAAAATAGAATCGAATTTTGAGAAGGCGTTCTAAATAGCTTCTTAAATATAACATAAATCAGTTATATATGTATACGAATATATGTGTCAATAATTGTGACAGTGGTACAGGGAAAAAGAAAGAATGATTTTATTATTTACATTAACGTGGAAATATTTCTATTAAATTACAGAAAATTGGGACGTTAGGTCGAGTTTGTAATTTTTTAACATTTCAAAAGACTTAGGCTAATTTCATAATCACTGGTACACGTGAATACTATTCGTCCAATAAAATCTACGTAGAGAAACATACACAATTTCTACACATAAATACTATAATAATTGAAAAATGAATAACTCATTTTGAAATGAATTTAAATCTAAAAATAAATTAGGAGCATTACGATTTACAATTTATAACTAGAATAATTTTTATTTCTTTATTATTAAGATTAATTGGTTTTCCTTTTTTATTTCGATTTTATTTTAAAGATTTAATAATTGAAAATTTTTTAATTTCCAAAATAAATTTATTAAGAGATTTTTATTTACGTTTTTAATTCACATTGATTGTTCACATTGGTTGATATAATTCTTCCTGGACTACTGTCATAAGTGAATAATTAGATAATATTGAAACAATACCGATGATTTATTTTTTAATGATATAATTGTATTTCGATGTGAAATATGTAAATAAGAGGTATTATGGTGTTGAATGTGGATTTAATAAATTATGTTTAACCGTGTGCCCTCAGAGATCATCACCTCCTGCCTCCAAGATGACGCCATGGCTGATGGCAATTTTCTGTCTGGCCACTGCTGGCTGTTCGAACGTCACGGATCAGCAAACATCTGAGACACATCACGATCAGCAGGTAGCGATCTTGAAACAGATCAGAAAAGTGAATGAAGACGGTTCTTACACGTATGGTTACGAGGCGGGTGACGGATCGTTCAAGGTAAGATTAAATAGCCGTGGTACCGTTTAATGCGAAAGGCATGTAACAGGCGTATTGCGTTTCTTAACACGCGTACAAACGGTTTAACGTTGCACGTAACGCGTCCCATAAATCCAATAGTTCTCTGAAAAAGCGCAGCATTTAAGCAAGCAAATTATGCATCGTTAAATTGTTAAACGCTAAAAGTGTATTCCGATTGCTCAACATAAAAGGAACAACTTCTCCGTGCAATCTAAATAATTACATAGTTTTCTCGGAAAATCGGTAACAGAACAAACAGTACGGTTCAGATTCGCGTTGCGGAAATCTCGCGAATGCTTGACACAAATTGCAAATCTCAAGTGACGATAAATTAGTTTAAATCTTCCACCGTGTTATTTAGAATAGCATAAAGAATATATAGCAATTTTTTGGAGACGGTAAATTATTTTATAGTCTTCGCTATATTCCTTAAGATCCAAATAAATTTGTGGACTTTTAAGAAACGATAAATTCTTTTATATTTATAAAATTCGTGGAAGATTGTGTCAATTTTTACACGAGAATAAATTACTTCGTATCGTTATATATCGCTGTATTTCGAAAAATTTATGAAAAGTTTAATAATAATATGAGAAAAATTGCCAAGGCTTAGAGTATCAAAAGATTTGTATTAATTAATTTTTAAATATTTCCCAAACGTTTGAGCCAACGATAATCCCCTGAACGGAAGAAATTATTGTCAGGTCGAGAGTCGTGACGTTCTAGGCAACATCAAGGGTACGTTCGGTTTCGTGGACGCAGACGGCGAAATAAAGAGGGTGTCTTACTCTTCCTCTAACGGGACAGGATTTAAAGCAACCACCGTGTCGCCATTGCAGGAGCACGTGTCCGTCGTGCAGAGCATTCCGCGAGTAAATCGTACGACCACGACGAAGAAGCCGAACATCGTATATCCGTCGTCGACCGAAGCAACAACGAAATCGTCAGTGGTGCAATCGATCCCTCGAAACAGAAAGACAACGACCACGTCGACGACCACGACCACGACCTCCACGGAACCACCCAAGACGATATTCGGTCATTACCTGAAAGGGACAGGAAAGAGCAGACCACGTTTCGTCATCAACGGCCAGCAGAGACCTCTGGTGATAGAAGAAGAAAGCACAGAGGACGAAGATTCGCAGATCAATCGACCAAGCACCGAAGACAAGACTGCCACCTACAGGAAGATCATTTTCGCGAAACGACCAGTGGACCAAACCCTCAGACCCATCTCTGACGACTTCACGGAGAAGGAGGACGATGGCAAAGTGACCAGTGGGAACAATCTGAGGAGACAGCTGCACGAGGAGACTACCAAGGCCAACCCAATCGTGGAAGGAAGCAGCGACGACCATCCCGACGTTTATGGCGGTTCTTTGTCCACCACTCGACCTCTCTTCACCACCACCACTCCTCCTAGAGTCCTGCAACGAGTGTCTCCCAACCGAGTAGAGAGACCAAAGGTCTACGTGAATCGAGAGAACCTTGCTCCAACGAGATTCGAGAACCCCAGAATTTTCGAATCGGAGACAAAGACTCCTCCAGAGGAACGTACCCAGCCACAACCTGTCTTAATCCGAGGTCCTCCACGAGTGCCAGAAAACAGGGAGTACGTGAGACAGAGCACCGAGCCAATCTTCATCAGACAGCAGCCTGAACAGTACCTACGAGAGGTGTCTGGAGGGAGAATCCTAGTCCCTTCTCAGCAGAACCTAGAGGAAGGCCCAGCTTACAGACCCATCTCTATCAACAGAATCCTACTGAGGCCTCTGCCTAGCCAGCAACCACTTTATTCCACCACTACCGACGCGAATATTCATTACCTAACCGAGAATCCTCTACCAGAGCAGGAGGAAGACCCGAGAGTTGGTATGACACCTGGCTACATGCGGCCAAGACCTTTTCCTCGACCTGTGATCTTCCAAGAGCCTGACCCAAGGTCCAGACCAGTTCTTAGACCTGTCCCACCAGCCATCACTCACACCGTGGACGACAGAGAGTACCAAACGACTCCGGAATACCCGTACAGAGGCAGCACTATCGCTCTGCCGCCGGAACCACCCAATCCCATCACTCCACCTCTGAGCAGAAGAGACTTCCAGCTGCTGCTGAGAAGATTGCTCGTGAGTCAGTACGGCGTCCAGGCTCTTTCTTATCCGAAGAGCTACCTGGAAGACGCTTTGTACGACCAGCAACCGTATCCCTCTTATCAGCCCAGCTATCAGACCACTGCTCCGAGACCTGAAATAGGCTACGATCAGCAGCTTCCGCTTCAGTATGGCGACCGTGTCCCCATCAGGCGTCCAGTGTTCACCAGGGCCTTGAGTCCAGTTTATCAACCCCAGCAGTACGAGGATTACACCGATGGAAGGTACTCAAAGAGGGTCTACAGGCAGAAGTTCTATACGCAGGAGATGGCCGATGACGGGGAAGAGATATTGCCTGCTCCTATCAGGGAAGCTCTGCTGCTGAGGATGTTGCAGTTAGCGATTAACGCTGAACGACCTTCCATGGTGTCTACCGCGGTTATGACTACCACCACTCCTGCGTCCAGGTACAGGAAGACTGGACCTGTCAGGAGTGTGCAGATTATCACCGACGACGAGGAGGAGGAAAAAGAGGCGATGAAGAAGAAAATGCAATGATTCTTCTTGGGAAGTTTGAAATTTCCAAGCTTCGAATTTTCGAATGAATTTTGGAAATTTCCTTCGTTGGTTTCTTTTTTTTTTGTTTTGGACATTGAGGACTTCGTGATTGGTTGTTTCATGGTAAGGTGATGAATTATCGCGTACCTGTTTCGAGGTGGTAAAATCAAAAATGATCGGGTAAAATGGTTGAAAGAACAGGATACGAGTATAAGATTTAGGCGAACTACTTTCAATTATGCTATTTATTTTCTCGCTTAATTATCATACATTGACGTTTGTCGATCTATTTATGTGCTTTTGAATATTGTTGAGGTTGTAACGTTTACGATATAATATATTTTTGAAAAGAATTATATTCAACTATTGCTTGCTGAGAAAATTAGACTTCGCTAATTTTAATGTAATTAATTAAAAAGGCTTTTGATAGAAAGCTTTTCTTAATTAAAAAAAAGTTCTTGAAAATCAAAGTGACGAGAGACAGAATCCGAAAATTAATTTAAAAATTGTAGAACGTAATTACGTTTTTACTATACGCTTTATTTTATTAACATTGTTGAATCATAACAAAAATTGAAAAATGGGTACAGAATATTCATATGGCTCTATATAAAGCAAAAAAATATTAAAAAGGGATATTTTTTATGTCTCTATGAATTATACGAGCCACGCATTAATATAATATCAAAATTTATTTCAAATATAAATAGTTAATTATTAATCAAACAATTTAAATAGATCTTTCTCTGATCCATAAACAACTCGCATATACATATCTTTAATTCGAGTTACAAGCAAACGAATTTTCTATTAACCATACTATTCACTGCACATCGCATAATGCAACGAAATTTTCAAAGGGATATTTTTTATATCTCTGTGAATTATTAATACACTCATTAATTAGTATCAAAATTTATTTTAAATATAAATAGTTAATCACTAATCGAATTGAAAAAGGAATTTCTCTGATCCATAAACTCACATATATATATCTTTAATTCGAGTTACAAGCAAACAAATTTTCTATTAATCATACTATTCATTGCACATCGCATAATGCAACGAAGTCTTCAAGAATCTCACAGAATGTCCAACAATCCCAAATTCTTCCCACAACTCTTTCGACACCAAATGTCCCATTTTCTCTCTATTTTAAATATAAATAGTTAATCATTAATCGAATTTAAATAGAAATTTCTCTGATCCACAAACAACTCACATATACATATCTTTAACTCGAGTTACAAGCAAACGAATTTTCTATTAACCATACTATTCATTACTCCTCGCATAATGCAACGAAATCTTCTTCAAGTATCTCACAGAATATCCAACAATCCCAAACTCTTCCCACAACGTTTTCAACATCAAGTGTCCCATTTTCTGCGTGAAATCGCAATTCATCCCTGTCCTAATTCTCTGGAGGTACGAGGTTATTACAAGGTCGCCTCTTTTCGCTCTCCCCTTGCCGGACGATCAGTCAATAATTTCGATGAAAGAAATTACGAAGGCTGCAGCGCTAATTACAGCGGCTGGCAGGCAGAACCGGGAGACCATCTTCATCTAATGAGAAGCTGCACAGAAAAGAGCGTGAGAATGCAGGAAAAGCGACGTCGATAGACAATCGTGGCGACACAGTTTTCACGGAACAGACTGGAATCGTCAGCGAAACGAATCGACTTCTCTGAAAGGGAAATGTCCCACGTGTGTTCGTCCAACGATTTTCTGCACGACAACTTTCAACTATCTCGCAACGCCCGTTTTTGCCTTCGAGTCGGATCCTCGTTGCCTTTAGATCGACTCGACGCAAATGCAATTAGATCGACGTGTGTATATATATATGGTCAATCCGGCACACGATTACGTTGATCTTGCATTCACAGCTGCATTACGCACACTCTATTTCACCCTGTCACACGTCGTGTTAGAGCGTAGACATTCCAAAGACGAGCTGATAGCTTCACCAACTGACCGGTGAGCAGCAAGTATTTTAATTTAGATCAATAGTGATTGCTCGCGTTCGATATCATTGTCAATATGAAGCAGTAGTTCTTCGTGTGAGTGTGGAGGATTGTGAGTGTTTATTTTGAGACAGGTGCTGAGATTCGTTTCGTATACTTCGACAGAATTTAAGTATGGATTTAATGACAAAAGTTGAGACAGAATAATTATTTGTGGATTTCTACATATTAAATAGTAAGTAAATTGTGTAATATTAGAAATTACGATCAATAAGAGTTGAATTATTAATAATTAATTCGCCTTATCAGAACATTTTTTGAAAATATTAGAATTAAAAATAGAACAGAAAATAACTTTCTTTCTTAATATCTCGTATATAGCCTATTTTTATTTTCTTATCTATAGATGCATCGCATAGATGTGAATATACTTTGACAGAATTTAAGTATGGATTTAAAGAAGAAAGTTGAGACAGAATAATTACTTGTGAATTTCTACATATTAAATAATAAGTAAATTGTGTAATATTAGAAATTACGATCAATAAGAGTTGAATTATTAATAATTAATTCGCTTTATCAGAAAATTTTTTGAAAATATTAGAATTAAAAATAAAACAGAAAATAACTTTCTTTCTTAATATCTCGTATAAAGCCTATTTTTATTTTCTTATCTATAGATGCATTTCATACATGTGAATATACTTTGACAGAATTTAAGTATGGATTTAAAGAAGAAAGTTGAGACAGAATAATTACTTGTGAATTTCTACATATTAAATAATAAGTAAATTGTGTAATATTAGAAATTACGATCAATAAGAGTTGAATTATTAATAATTAATTCGCTTTATCAGAAAATTTTTTGAAAATATTAGAATTAAAAATAAAACAGAAAATAACTTTCTTTCTTAATATCTCGTATAAAGCCTATTTTTATTTTCTTATCTATAGATGCATTTCATACATGTGAATATACTTTGACAGAATTTAAGTATGGGTTTAAAGAAGAAAGTTGAGACAGAATAATTACTTGTGAATTTCTACATATTAAATAATAAGTAAATTGTGTAATATTAGAAATTACGATCAATAAGAGTTGAATTATTAATAATTAATTCGCTTTATCAGAAAATTTTTTGAAAATATTAGAATTAAAAATAAAACAGAAAATAACTTTCTTTCTTAATATCTCGTATAAAGCCTATTTTTATTTTCTTATCTATAGATGCATTTCATACATGTGAATATACTTTGACAGAATTTAAGTATGGGTTTAAAGAAGAAAGTTGAGACAGAATAATTACTTGTGAATTTCTACATATTAAATAATAAGTAAATTGTGTAATATTAGAAATTACGATCAATAAGAGTTGAATTATTAATAATTAATTCGCCTTATCAGAACATTTTTTGAAAATATTAGAATTAAAAATAGAACAGAAAATAACTTTCTTTCTTAATATCTCGTATAAAACCTATTTTTATTTTCTTATCTATAGATGCATCTCATACATGTGAAATTTAAGAAAATTCGCAAATTATTAATTTGTTTCTTAACTTTTGTCAGTCGTTGTACAACAATAATTTTATAGTATATAAAATATAAAAACAATTTTTATATAATATATAAAATTTTGCAAATGCAGTATAGTATATTCTACGTATTATAAAAATAATTTTATATACAAAATATACTGCCTTTTATATATATAATGAAATTAATTTAACATATCACAAAGTACACTATTATGTTTTCTATTAGCATGTGAATTGCATTGGTACCTACTATGCAGAAGTCAATAATCAAACACATAATAAACCCAACAAAAATTCATTTCAAATCCAATATTAAAAATCATTTTAGCAAAGTAAAAAATTCTCATTAAAATTGACAATTAATATAATTTTGTTTATAATTTCGTAATACATAAAGTTTCATAAATGAAAATAATTTCATTTTGTATATTATAATAACAATTTTTATAACATATAAAATTTTACAAAAGCAATGCAGTATATTCCATGTATTGTAAAAATAATTTTATAATTAAAATATACTGCTTTTTGTATATCATCAAATTAATTTAACATACCACAAAATATAGTATTATATTTTCTATTAGCATGTGAATTGCATTGGTACACAATGCAAAAGTCAATAATGAAACACAAACCGAACAAAAATTTATTTCAAATCCAGTATTAAAAATCATTTTACCAAAATCCGAAATTCTCATTAAAATTGACAATTTTTGTCAGTAACTCGACAAGTTATAATTTTGTAGCACATAAAGTTCCATAAATGAAACTAATTACTTCTTGCATATTATAATAACAATTTTTATAATATATAAAATTTTACAGAAACAATGCTGTATATTCCACGTATTATAAAAATAATTTTATGAACAATGTATACTTTAACATATCGTAAAATATCCTGTTGAGTTTTATATTATCACGTGAATTGTATTAGTATATACACAATACTCAGCTTACCGAGTATTATATACCGAGCAAAATATTACTGCACAGGTATTACTAAAAATCATCTCACGACAATGCTCGTCAATAACTCGCCACGTTATAATTGAGCGTAATTTCGAACGCAGCAGGTCACGCGACAGTACCGTCATTTAGCCTTTGTTCCATTGTAAATATGTTTCTAAAAAGAACTAGTGTAATATATATACATATATATCGAAATAAAACAAGTTGGATGGTAGATACCCCGGTGTGAGAATTCATTTCATAAGCCTCTGAGAGCCAGTGTACCAGGAAAGAATAATAACGTGTCTACCTGTCGGTAATTAGCATCGCGGATTGCGACACCTCGCTGTCGGATACGAGAACTCGTATTTGTTAGTCGCGTTGGCTATACGATGGCCACACAGCGGGGGCGTAGATCATGGGATCTTACGCGTCGTTTCCACGTATTCTGAACTCGCTTTGCCTCTTGCCAAATCTCCAGACGGAGCATGCAAAGACCTCAGAGCGAAGGAAAGTTCCGATACCGGGGAAAAAATTGTCCCACTGACTTAGGGGATCCCCGGAAAAGTGGCAGGAAATTGGACCTTTCCAAACGAGTGAAATTGTCGAGTAAATTGGGAACGACACGAAACAGCACTTGGTTTCGTTGATTTTACAATGGTGGTTTCCACTGGAGACATTTCACTTACAAAATTTGTAACGAAATAAGGGCATTGCAAAATTTATTAATTATACAGGAATTGCTTATAAAATAATGGAAAAGTTAGCATTAAAGATTTAAATATTGTTATACAGGGTGTTCCAGTTTTTAGTTGCTAAATTTCCTCAGTATGTACTGTTTGGTGTTAATTATACTAATTTTAATAGGAAATCAAGTGTAACCAAATAAGGGCATTGCAAAATTTATAAATTATACAGGAATTGTTTATAAAATAATGGATAAGTTAGTATTAAAGGTTTGAATATTGTTATGCAGGGTGTTCCAGTTTTTAGTTGCTAAATTTCCTCAGTATGTACTGTTTGGTGTTAATTATACTAATTTTAATAGGAAATCAAGTGTAACCAAATAAGGGCATTGCAAAATTTATAAATTATACAGGAATTGTTTATAAAATAATGGAAAAGTTAGCATTAAAGAATTGAACATTGTTATACAGGGTGTTCCAGTTTTTAGTTGCTAAATTTCCTCAGTATATACTGTTTGGTGTTAATTATACTAATTTTAATAGGAAATGAAGTGTAACCAAATAAGGGCATTGCAAAATTTATAAATTATACAGGAATTGTTTATAAAATAATGGAAAAGTTAGCATTAAAGAATTGAACATTGTTATACAGGATGTTCCAGTTTTTAGTTGCTAAATTTTCTCAGTATATACTGTTTGGTGTTAATTATACTAATTTTAATAGGAAATCAAGTGTAACCAAATAAGGGCATTGCAAAATTTATAAATTATACAGGAATTGTTTATAAAATAATGGAAAAGTTAGCATTAAAGAATTGAACATTGTTATACAGGGTGTTCCAGTTTTTAGTTGCTAAATTTCCTCAGTATGTAATTTGTATGTTTGGTGTTAATTATACTAACTTTAATAGGAAATTATGTCCCCAAAATTGTAAAACTTATTAGTTACTTTTGACATGACTTTGGGAGATACCATACTTTCACTCCAATTTTTTAATTTTTTTGTTTAAACGAATATATCATGGTAATAAAATTTGATACCTAAAAAGTGGAATATCCGGTATATTAAATAAAGTTTCCAATATCCACAAGATGCTCGTTTTTTGGTAAAATATTCTTGTTTAGAATAGGAATAAGTATATAACTCGTTTTATCATAATTAGAAACTAAAGTGCCTGTGAATTTCCTTTTCAACATGTGACTTCTCTTATTTTCACTCGGTCGGTAATATCACACAGCAGCTTGTATGTGGAAGGAACTTTCGATTTACTGGCATCGAATATTGCTTCGACATCGAAACCCATGGACAGAAAACTACCAACAACTTTCTTCCTCCCGGATATATCCTTAACAAACGTACTGGTGCGTGAAGTCTACGAAAAAATTTCACTTTATCACTCTCGAACGTTCGGCTAACCTCGACAACAGTCGTAAAATTGATATCGCCGCGATTACAATAACCGGGTATTTATTAAGAAATAGAACGGAAACGGATAGTTTAGCAGTAATAGAGGAAAGGAATTTTTTCGTGCGACCGTAGGCAACCTTTCAATTTTTCTGCGGTTACCGGATGCACACGTGAAAGGTTGTCGTTAGGAAACAGTGGTATTTGCCAACTGGACGCTGTTCCTATGCTCCGCGAGCAATGGCTTCCGATATCATGCGCCGACAGCGCCACCTGCGCGGCCATGACACTACAGGCAACTGTGCCCAACACACAAAAATCGAAAAGCTGCAATCTATAATTATTCATAGCTTATTAAATAAAAATAGTAACAAAAGTACGTAAATTTTAATACGTCCCATAATTTTTCCGAATTTTTCAATTTTTCAATTTGTCTACAATAAAGCTACAAATTTATTTTCAATTTAAGATTAATTGCAATCTAGTATTTGGTATCACAATACTTGTTTAAACCTTACGAATCTTCTTTTCCCGATATTAACAATTTGTCTTCAAAAATTCCTGGTATTTCTACGAATGATGAGATATCTCAAAAATCCTACTATACATTTTTGTACATCATCGCATCTAAGAATAAGAAACACAAAATTAACATTTCGCAATATTTGGTATTGAAATAAATTTTTCAAGATTTATTCATGATAAAAATTCCTAACCCTAAACATTATGTATCTTCAGAAACAGTAAAAATAGCCTACTCTCTCAACATCTGTATCAATAACAAATTGCAATAATGAAAATTAATAAAAGGCTAGTATACTTAATAAGTAAATAATAAATAAATAATTTAATAAATAAAAATAAATTATTTTTAATATGGAAAGACGCCTTAATTTTTTATTGCCAAATTATATATATTTCCTTTTCTCATTATCAATTAATTAATAAATTGAAAATTTTGATCGATCGGTTAGTTTTGAGGTTATGAATTTCACTTTGGATGCACGTATGCATGTTCGACACACTGTGCAACGTGAGGAACAGCTGGAGCCTTCGAAACGTCTAATTAGACAGACCGTTCTTTTCATCGACTTTCCTCTATGGCGCTGATGGAAAGTTGTAAAAGATAGGGCTGGTTCATTGTCTTGTCGCGTATGTTCGTATATCGCGGAGATATGTGAGCGATCCGGGGAGAAATACGGGACAAAGAGAAAGAAAGGAGAATTCGCAGGGATCAGATACGATCTTGATAAGTTCTTAGGTTCAGCTAACAATCGTGTAGTAAAATATCAAGTGAGAGTTGTACGATGTACGAAGGATTTTACTTTTGATGTTTTACGCAAGTCTGCTGAATCTTATTACAGTAACATGAGATCAAATTGTGAGAAGAAGTTGAATTTGCTGAATCGAAGAGATCTCTACAAACGCGTATCTTCAAAACACTTCGTGGTACAGTATAAATTTACATTAGAAAAATAAATAATTATATGGAACATGAAGATAACCTAAAATTTGGAAAAAATATTCAAAAATAATATTGCTTTGTAAATTATGAAAGAAGAAACTGATGAATTAGATGACTATTTTTACTAAAAATTTTATTCCTAGGATCAACAAGATCGCAAGATGAACAACTCGAACAGTAGAATGAAATACGAGAACGAAGAATAAAGATAACAAAATAAGACCTAGCATACAATATCATTACAATAAAATAATTTACAGTTAACCTATTATTAACCAGTTAAATGTTACAAATGTTAAAAATATGAATCCTTAACTTAAAAGGTACATAATTTCATTGACTATATACAATCCTGAATAATCCTATTATTACTAGAATTAAATTCAGTAATTCCTCAAAAGTTCTGTACAAATGAACGAAAATCCTCGTAACAAGGTACAAAAGGGAAGAATAATAATAAAAATACTGAATAAATATGGAAATCTAGAAAGATGATCTTAAACTTAGCTGGAGGCTTGCGAAATTTTCGAGTGGACCGAGGCAGAACGAGGCACGTTTCTCGCGCCTTCTGCATCGTCGTCCAGTGGATAAGGACTAAAAGGCTCTGTCTGGACGCCGACATCTTCGTAATCGAGTTCCAAGGCGTCCTGCTCGTAAATCGCGTCGTGACTACGAGGTCTGGCCACGGAAGGAATCCATGGCTGCGGGACGCCTTTACCTAGCGCCAGGAAAACCGCAGCGGTCGACAGGAGAACTACGGAAGCGACGCCAAACACCAGCCGCCATGAACCAGCGATCTGTAATGGAGATTCCACGTTTCTGACGTTATTTCGACGTTATTTCAACGACTGTGAAATAACTGGTTAATTATTAATATACGAATTTCGATTTTCCTTTGTAATGTATCGTGAAAGAAGAAGCGAAGTTACAGATTGGATTTTAATTGGTAGTCTGTTTGTGAGGAACGGTTAATCGGTCGTAAAGAGGTATGAGGAAGTTAGGATTCGAAGGTCGTTAAAATTTCTTACTGCGGTTTCGTCGACGTGAATGAGTAGTAAAAGTTGAAGACTTCCTGTAATAGGATTAGTTGAGATGATCTTCGAGACTTTTACTTGTAAGAGTGGACAGAGTGTTAAAATGGAGGCTGAGTAATATGTCCATGTACATGTGTTATACTTATATTCGTTGATTGTGGTATTAGATAATTTAAGTTTGACAATTTTGTGTATTAATCGGTAATGATAATATATGTAGAAAAATATTTGGATGATACTGTGTTCATAGTATCTTTTAAATAATGTTAGCAAATTTTCAATTAATTTGATACAATTTTACTAATATCGTGTCCAACTTTGGCTTCTAACTATAATAAGAATATTTGATGATAATACTTGTAATAGTTTGCAACAAAGAGTTATTTCGGAAATCTGTAGAAGCAGTTGAATGCTGTTATTATTATTATGGTTAATATTATTGAGAAATTTAGAAAATTAGAAAATTTTGTTAATTAGTAGGAAAATATTAAGTGTGACTTACAGAACCATGAAGGGCCTGAGTAACGAAGTAATTAGCAGCCAACAGGCCTGCAGCGCCTAGGGTAGAGCATAATGCACATGCTGCTGCAGCACAGGCTGGAGATTCTACAGGTGCAAGGTCTGCTATAGCTGCTAGAGCACCTGCTGGTGCAGTGCCAGAAACAAGGAGAGCAGCTATACCTAACCAGGCTGCACCTAGTGCTTGACAACCGGCGTAACCAGCAACAAAAAGTAGGGCAGCTGGAATAAAATGAGCTGCAACCAAATTGTAAATTAAATTACATCTTCCAAATTTAATTTTTATTAAATTTAAAAATTTGTCTGAATAAAATTTAAAAATATCGCTATATATTATAGTGAATGCTTATTAATGTAATAGTAATATTTAAATTTGGATTAAACCAGGAATAATTTGATATATAATTCATTGAAATTAAAATTTAAATATATTCAAAAATTTGGTTCCATGAAATTAAAAAATATTGCTATTTACAATGCCTAATTTTTGCTAATGTAATAATACCATTTAAGTTTGATTTAAACGAGGAATAATTTGATATATAATCTCTTATGATTGAAACTTCTGTGAAAACTTCATATCAGCTGGAAATATTCGACTTTTAACCTCTGGCAAACAATTCTACTAGATCATTCAATAACAAGGTTCATGAGGCTCCCAAGATTTTTCATCGATAACATATTATCTAAGAACACCAAGCAAATCTTGATAACTATGGTATTCTTGTGGGTCCTTACGTAAGACTTTCAAAATTTGGTAAATTTCCATTTTTCTTTCTCATTGGGTGATAATAGATTGAGATGATAAATATCTGGAAACGCGACTGATTCGATCTTTTGATTATATTCAGTGGAGATAAAAATGATTAAGCGATTACAATATTGAAAATAAATATATATTCTTTTTATTAATATGCATACCAGTATAAACAACCAGCTTTCTCGCTGTAGTCGTTGAAACAATTTTTGATTCACGAACATGATCCACGAGAAGACCACACGTTAGGGCAGCCATGAAATGACCAATGTGAGGTAACGTAGTAAGAACAGAGTCCTGAAACCATTAAAAGTGAAATATTAACTTTGATTTTAAATTTTGATATTTGTCAAAAATTAATTTTATTTATTGGTAATTTATAAGAATGGTATTTATAATAGATGTAATAGATGCTTCGTAGATAATACTTATGTATTACATCTTTTCTGTAAGATGAAGTGTATATGACTCATTATACAGTAGCTTCATTATTATTATAAAATTAAATTTATAAAAGTGAATATATCATTTTTATAATATAAATATTAAAAACTTTTAATACAGCAAATGAATAGTGTACTTTTTAATATAGCAAATAATTATAATATAATTTTCAATATTTCTTAATATTTTACACATTTTGAAAGTATAGGTGTCTACCTATTTCCATTACAAAGCATATTGTATAATATGAAATGAATAAGATATAATGCGAATAATAAAATATAATGTTAAAATTTACAAAAAGTTGGTGAATCGTTATATATAATTTTGTCTAAAATAAAATACTCACATTTGCTGTTGAGAATCCATAAATGAGTTTCAAATACTTCGTCATTCCAAGTGCAAGGGTTGCATCGCCCCATTGATTTCCCATCGTCGCTACAGCAGATGCCCAAACAGGAACCGATCGCAGTAATTTTCCCCATGGAATCACAGCTGCCTATTTCATTACCAATTTTACGTTTCAGTTTATTATTATTCTTCGTCTTTCACGATTCCAATTCCAAAAAATATAGTTTCAATATTTTCTCTTAACCTCGTTTGATTTTCCCAAAGAATCAAAATTTTTACCTGTCTTTTTCACATATATTTTACAAATTAAAGTATAAAATTCGTGCTTTCCGAGAGTCACGAAAAAGATGAGACTTCTTCGATATTTTGTACGGAAATAATTAACTTCATGCGACGACTCATTAATCTTTTAAAACAATGGTATTGTGATTGAAACAATGTAATATCGCATAATTCATAGACCATTAGCCTATCTCTGTATGATTCATGTCGTAATAATGACCTGAATTAAGTGTTACCAAAAGAAGTGGAAGAAATTTGTGATTCGTTGTGCAATAACGATGTTAAGAGGAAGAATTAAATATAAAAGAAATCTCTGCATCTCTATTAATTAATCAAAATATATTTCCTTTTACGATATTAGAATCCTTTTAATTCTCATTTTATATAAAATATATAAGACTTATAAATTTTATAAAAAATTCCTTACAAAACATTTCCTTAATATTCAGATATTAATTTTCCTAATATTTCTAAATAAATTAATAAAATTAACTAAATCTAATAATTTTGTAATAACAAAATAGAAATGAAAGGATATATAATAAATTAATTATCAATTTAATATTAAATTGATATTAAAATATAGTATTAATTTAATGTTAATCGAAATTAAAATATTAAATGATGGTTATAACGAGAAATAATTTTTGGGAATAAAAATTATCTTACATTTGTGTCATGCTGGTATGACTTCGGCGTGTCTTTGACGAATCGACCAAAAGCAAAGTACCAGCATAATGCAATGCAAACAAGACCATAACAGAGCGAATCTCGGCCAAAACTTCGAACCACAGCTGTACCCAACCATCCTGTGAGGCAATATCCAACGCTGACAGCTATTAAACAATTTAATCTTCATTAATGTTTTATCATGTTTCAAGGATAGTAATTATTTAATATTGCGGTTAATTATGGCACTCTAGCATGTTGCAGTACTTCAAATTGTTAATATCTTTCTTGTTTCTAAATTCTGAATTCTATAATTAAGTCATATTTAATTACAACATATTTATTATAAAATGTTTAAGTTTGCATTACAATCAGTTAGAAAATGACTTTGCAATTTTTGCATTACAATCGAGCAATGGAAATTTACCAGCGTAGCAACTGAAGTACCAACTTCTGTGAGTACTCTTAAACCAGGTCATAGCGAGCATGTGAGCTGCAGGCATAGTTGCGCCCTGTAAATGAAAAGTGTCGCAATGATTCTTTGCTTAATAACTAAAATCAGTGTCTCGTAACAATTATGATTCCTGGATAAATAATTCTAAAATTGCAAATTTTATATTATAATCTGGAAATAAAGGAAATAGAGATAATATAAACTAACAATTTCTGATTTAAACAATTCTTGCATTATCATTTTATAACATATTATTTTCAAAGACAGTCCAAATATTTATAATTTTTATAATATTCATTATGAACAATATTAATATAGGAGTATAGCAATAATACAAACTTTAATAATATTTAAAAATAATAATGAATAAATAATATTTGTTTCCAAAGGGACAAAAGTATTAAAATTTTTAATTTATAATTTCTGAAATTAAAAGCTATATTAATTTAAATTAAAGCAATAAATTTTGTCCCATATTTCAGCACGTTTCATTTATTGGAAATTTTATTATCCTTATTAAATGTTTGACCGTAATTAGATTGTATGATATTTATGTTTAATTCTTACTGTACATAATCCTTGAAACAAACGAAGTGCTACATGAGACGGACCTCTCCACGCAGCTGGCACCAACAATAATGCCAAGCAAGCACTTAGAACTGCACGTGAAAACACCATCGAGGGTCCCGACCTGCCCCACACTAAACATCCTCCCAAAATTGGTCCTGCCACTTGACCCCACAGAAATGCCTCTCTCATTATAGATTCTGCTCGTTCTTCCGGTGGTAACTGAAAATGTCGTCAATTTGTCTCAAACTTTATTATATTATTATTGCAGAATTTAATAACATTTAAAATTTTAACAAAATTTAGAATTTAAAATAAGAAACTTCGTCTTAAGCTTCTTAATCCTCACAAAATTATATCCTTTTATTAAAACAGAATAAACAAAAATTGAAAATATATAAATAAAATGACACATTAAATTTTTATTTATATTACTGGCATACTTAACCCTTCGAGATCCAAATCACATTCGACTATTTCAATAGGCTCATAATCGAGAACTCATTTCGAAATACTATGTCAAGATGGACTCATTTTCCACATTCTTTTAAATAACAATATATCTACGTCGCTATATTTCTGTCAAATTAAATTATAATACAGAAAGTGGGTTCTGTATATTAATTGTATAGTAACTGTATATTAAGACTAGGACATAATATCGAATCCAGCTCGATATATGATCGCAAAGGGTTGAAGTATATTTGACAATTTAGTATGGATAATAATTTTGAAAGATTTAGCGTGTGTACATGATTTTATGTACGTTACAAGTTAACGTTACTTCGTATTTACCTCCATGAGTATAACTTCGAAGTCTTCGGTGCGATTACGACTGCTGACGTTGACCAGCAATTCGCAATGCCACGAAGTATCGATGATTTCATGATTATCCTTCTGATTGGCAAGCAATGCGACCGAGGAACTCACTTCCACTGCACCACACAGTGCAAATCCAACTGCAACGAGAGCTGCAACGATGTGTCGCGCTCGTACAGCCGCTGATGAATTATTAAATAGTTGTATTAATAAATGTAAGTATTTCGTATTATACGAAGTATTATTAAGTATTAGTATCGTGAAGTATTAATATTATTAGTGTTATTAGTATTAGTATTAGTTATTAATAAATGTAAATATTTCGTATTATACGAAGTATTATTAAGTATTAGTATCGTGAAGTATTAATATTATTAGTGTTATTAGTATTAGTATTAGTTATTAATAAATGTAAATATTTCGTATTATACGAAGTATTATTAAGTATTAGTATCGTGAAGTATTAATATTATTAGTGTTATTAGTATTAGTATTAGTTATTAATAAATGTAAATATTTCGTATTATACGAAGTATTATTAAGTATTAGTATCGTGAAGTATTAATATTATTAGTGTTATTAGTATTAGTATTAGTTATTAATAAATGCAAATATTTCGTATTATACGAAGTATTATTAAGTATTAGTATTGTGAAGTATTAATATTATTAGTGTTATTAGTATTAGTATTAGTTGTTAATAACTGTAAATATTTCGTATTATACGAAGTATTATTAAGTATTAGTATTGTGAAGTGTTAATATTATTAGTGTTATTAGTATTAGTAATAGTTGTTAATAACTGTAAGTATTTCGTATTATACGAAGTATTATTAAGTATTAGTATTGTGAAGTATTAATATTATTAGTGTTATTATTAGTATTATTAGTACTATTAGTGTTATTAAGTATTAATATTATCAAGTATTAGTATTACAAGTATTAGTGTTATTAAGTATTACTGTGTTTAATTATTAGTACTATTAACTATTAGTATTATTAAATATTAAGTGCATGAGAAAAATTTCTATATCTAAATTTCTATAGATAAATTTAAATATTACAGTATATTTAATACAGAAAAATATTATTAGTAATTATTTAAATCACTGACTATTTTTGGAATTATTTTACTAATTACTTTAATGACTATTTTATTTCATATATTATTTCACTTATAAATACATATTTGCATGAAGTTTCTCGTTACAATAATAAATTATAAATTAATTTATTAAGAAATTTATATTCATTCCACCGGAACAATACTTCCATTGCCCTTTAATCATAATTAATACCAATTCGTACGATTATTATTTTTTGAATTCATTCAAATTCCTTATTATCACACTATCAGGCGACAGTGGGCAAGCACTTGTTATGCGCATTGTATACACGCATTATCGGCGACACATCGTTCGTAATAGAACACTGTTTGATCTTGATAACTTGGTTAAACAACAGATTCCATAGTTTCTACCTCTAATTCGCAGTTGAGGAAATACCTTCCAATTACCTTCCATGACACACACGAACGAATTTAACGAGATCGATCTACCATTCTCAGTGAAATACAGCTAGCATAACAAACTGGGGAAAATATAATCAACTTTCTAAATTACCATCACGAACAAACATATTATATCATCCACGGTATCATAATCGAGGCGAACAATTGACTCGCTCAACAATCAAACAATTATCCAAAAATTTCACCAGTGACAGTCAAAATTCGCTGAATCATAATTAATTATTATTTAATTATTATTAATTACTATTAATTATTATTTAAACAAAAAAGTATCGAATAATGCAATATATTTTCAATTATTATCAATTATATGTCTTATGTATCTCTAAAACAATTTTTCAAATTATTTCTTTACTTATTTAAATTAACTAATTTTCTGAATTTTCTCTACATTAACGAAAATTAAAATTTTCAAAGAAATATACATCCAGTATACCTTTAGCGTGCTATCATTTATTCACACAGGATGAATCACATAACTCGCTCACAAGGAATAAGTTAAGTATATACACTCTCAGTTAAGTGACCCACAAATTAATTTTTTAAATAAAAATTACATCATATATTTTTATATAATTAATTTTTTCTATAACATATCAATCTTTTAAATCTCATAAACAAATTTGTAGTCAAAAACTATTTAGAAACACCACTCAAAATTTAATTCTATTTTTATATTTTTGCAATAAATAATATATTCATATTTCTGTCAAAATTAAATTGAAATACAAAATGTTGTTATATCTGTAAGAATTAAGATGACTCCAATGACTTGATATGCGATCATAAAAGATGAATATAATTTGTCACGAGACCAGGAAGGATCAAATTGCAATCAAGGAGGACCTCAGAACACAAACCTTCCAACAACTCTATTAAAAATAAAAAATAAAATATTTGTGGACGATTTACGTGACTCACTCTGCATAAATTAATTCACGAAAGCTCGGTAAAGGCATTTTCACGTGGTGGAAAGCGTTAATCTTGAAGAAACTTTGCTCTAGGAATACATGGTCTCGTGGTAAGTTGAACGAACCTCTAACTTCCTTCGCTGCCTGCTTTATCTGAACACCGCTATGTCTCACCAGCTGCACGCTTCCTCTCTTCACGAACTCTGCCATTTCACGAAACTCGAAAGAGGTAAAATCAACGAATGCATGTCACTCTTATCATCCTTGCCGTTCGACTCTACGCCTATTATCTCCTTCCTACCCCGTGCAATACACGCGACCTCGACTTTGGTTTCCTCAAAACGTAGTACAAATAATGATTCTTAAAATAACAGGTCGATGATAAGGCGATTTTTCGTATATTCTCATCTCATCTCGATTCACTGTGTCACACCACTCTAATCGCTGCCTATCCGCCGAAGAACGTGTTCGCTGTAAGGTAAGACACGATTGGCAGAACCCTTCGAGATGGGGCAGGAAATGCTGTGTACAGTATGTCCCAAGACAAAGGTAAATTATATAATTACGAATTCAGACACAATCGATAGCCTATCGCGATAATTATACTATCGGTCGTGATACCGATAAGCTACTACGTTTTAATCAGAGTGATAATTATTGGTCAAATTTGACAGGTAGATTGGCAGCTCGTAGACTGTTATTCGAAACGATGTTTGCACAGGTTTCGACACAACTGATTAGGGTACATATGTCGTGAACTGCTATTTGGATGCAGAATGTTCATCGTGGTTAGGAAAATTCTTATGAAATTTTTCTTGGGGAATGGCAGATTTAAATATTGGTAAAATTTGACAGGTAGATTGGCAGGTCGTAGACTGTTATTCGATACTATGTTTGCACAGGTTTTGACACAATTAATTAGAGTACATACATCGTGAACTGCTTTTTGGATGGAGAATGTTCACGTGATTAGGAAAATTCTTAAGAAAATTTTCTCGTGGAATGGGAAATTTAAATAATAGAAGGTAATATTATAATTATGAAATTTTCTCAGGCAATCAATGAATATTGTTTGTTAATGTTATGAGATTAATTGGTCAATAAATATAATATATTTATAATATAATATAATAAATTTAATTAGTCAAAAATAATGTTGTAAATATAAGATATCCTAAGGTAATCACTGAGTATTGTTTGTTAACATTTTTGACATACCTGATTACAAATATTCGCATAGTAATCAAACATATATAACATGTGTAGTTTACACGAATTATATTTCATAATATGAAACAATATATAGTAACAGAAACACATTGAATACTTTTAAAATGGAAGTTGTCAGGTATATATATTTATATCCAAATATAAACATTAATATAAATATTAATTACATTATTGTTTTATTTATTATTAAATTAATACTTAAATAAATTAATATTAATTATCATTTATTTAATTATTAATTTATTTACATTATTGTTATTAATAGTTAAATAAATTAATTATAAATCAATAGTAATATCGATGTACTAATACATCAATCAAAATGTGATTGTAAACATGAACATGAACATATTGTATATATTTATATCCCAATATCATATTCCAAGATATCAAGTAGATAAATATTATTCACCAACACTTAAATGCAAATACCATTTATCTACCAGTACTCTACCAATTATTATTACGTATCTCATCTACTATATCCTCCAATTACTATTCTAATTCGTACTATATATTATATTATCATTTAATATAACAACATTTTTCAATATATATATCCAAATATACAACAGAAATCTAAAAATAATTAAAGTAATACGCAATTACCCTCCAATTTCGATAAAAATTACTGCCAACTTCACGAAAGTCAATCATACTACACATTTTCATCAATTTTAAATCCAAAATTACTCAAATCACGTATTTCCATTAATTTGCTCCCAATATTACAATCGTGTCACAAATTACCAATACACAGATATAAAATAAATATCAAAAATGATATACGTGTAAATACATTTCACGTGTACCAATTTCTCCGAAAATCTACTTACTCGAGAGAAAAAGATTAAGGAGAATTAAGGAAAAGTTAGTAAGAAATTAAGAAAAGTTTGTTCTCACCTTTCATTTCCAGCGCCGCATGTCTCAACTGGACGCTTCCACGTTTAAGACGAACAAGCGCGGCCATGTTTATCACACGAATCGCAGCACAGTTCGAGCTTTCATTAGAGGGCACCGATACGGATCTAGACACATTTTACGGTGATCCAGGCTAGTCTTTCACTGACACCTCTTCGTCACGGTGATACGGGGTCAATCTGGACCGTCGCGAGTTGCACGAACCACACTGGTCATCTGGGAGCGCGAGTGAATGAACATCTCTGTTAACGAGACTTGATACAATAAGTACCTATGCCAGGTCAGCCTTGAAGCACCGTTCCAGGCCTGCCTCGTGTTATTTTCACGTCCGTGCCACAAAACGATATCGCACGCGTATTTCACGCACGATAACAAACCGAACCCAAACAACCGATTCCTCTCGCGTTATCAGCATCTTGCGAAATATTAAATAACGCTTCGCTCTTTTCCTTCTTCCTCCCGATAATGGGTCCCGGCTATACCTTCCTCCTCTTCGTCGATGATTTCGTTCTGTAGTCGAGTTTCCTTTTTGGCAAATTTCATAAAATTTGCGAATCTTCTATATTTATGTATATTTTATATTTTTAGGGAATATTTTTAATATTAATTAAAAAACCTAACCTAGTCTTTCTAATTGAAATTGCTTTATCATCCTCAGCTTTAAAAAATTGTAAGTTTTTCTAGAAAGGTACGATTGGGTTTCCTATTTGGGAAATTTCATAGAAATTGGGAATCTTGGGAGTCTGCGAGTGATGGTATGGGGTTTATGCATATTTTATATTTTTAGGGAATATTTTTAATGTTGTGGGACGTTGACACTGGAAATAGGAGAGAGGTTGACTTGCAATAGGAGTAATAACACTGTTCAACACGAATTTTAATTTGTTATATCCATCGGATAATTCTTGTGGGGATTATCATCTTAATAGAAATTGCTTTATCATCCTCAGCTTTAAAAAATTGTAAGTTTTTCTAGAAAGGTACGATTGGGTTTCCTATTTGGGAAATTTCATAGAAATTGTGAATCTTGGGAGTCTGTCAGTGATGGTATGGGGTTTATGCATATTTTATATTTTTAATGTCGTGGGAAGTTGACACTGGAAATAGGAGAGAGGTTGGCTTGTAATAGGTGTCATAGGAGTAATAACACTTTTCATCACGAATTTTAATTTGTAATATCTTTTGTAAGAATTACCTTCCTAATTGAAATTGCTCCATCACTCTCAGCTCTAGAAAATTGTAAGTTTCTCTAAAAAGGCACGATTTTTGGGTGAAATGAAGTATTAGATTCTCATAAAAATGAGAACACTGGAAGATTCATTCCCATGTTAAAAATTAGATGGAAGTTTATTTTTGTACTATTTTATATTGAAAAGTCATTAGTATTTATGTGTCGAATAACAAACCTGTTTCAAATAACAGATTCAGTGAAATTTCTTATAATTTTACAATTAGTATAAAATAGTACATGAGAGCATATGCATGTGATATATATTAACAATGACAGTTGCTTGATTCAAAAACACATTTTTCTTAAAATGTGGGTTATAGGGCAATCTTGATTACGAATTCGTGTTCAGGAAAGTGAGCTCTACGAGAATCACCTAATGGATATTACAGATTTGAAGAAAAGTTAAAATTTATTGAACAGTGTAATTGATGTCGTGCAATGAAAATGAGTAGCTACACATAATTGTCTCTATTTAAAAGAAAAAGAAGGTTAATTCTTGTCGATAGTACCACGTGGTTTAATAGTGAAAGCAGAAAGTCTGAAAATGATTATAGTAATTAGTTTAGTAGTTCCAATGTTAAATTAAATACCAAATCTGTGGATGAAGATGACTAGGTATGCATAATTGTCTCTATTTGAAAGAAAGGGAAGGTTAATTTTTGTCAATAACACTGTGTGGTTCAATAGTGAAAGCAGAAAGTCTGAAAATGATTGTACTAATTAGTTTAGTAGTTCCAGTGTCAAATTAAGTATCCACTTTGTCAGTAGACCATCGTTTTTCAAATTTTGTGGTGAAAATTACTGCATTTAATATTGTCATTTACGTCATTAAGATCCACGATTTTTTTTTTTAACGGGATAGGCTGAAATGTGACAATTGTATTAAAATAAATAAAAATTAAAAAATTGTTTTTTATAGTGTTATTTCCAAATAATATTTATCATTATTTCTTTCTTTCTCTAATATTTTACAAATACTTGTTAGTGATGCTTTTGCTAATTTTCTCATTGCAAATTTATAAATTTGCAAATTAATATTGCAACATTAATACTGCAGAATAAAGCCTGGGATTCTCAATTAAATAACTACTTTTAATTAATATTAAATTATTTAATATAATACTAAAATATAAAATGTAATTGTTTTCATAATTATTAACACATTGAATTAAATAAATAAAAGGATGAAAATGCTTTTCGATAATTAATGATCTCTCAGTGAATTTTAGTCGAAATTAACAGGAACGCAGGACAATAGTGGAGGCTTGAGACAAGGAAAGGAAATGTTTGGAAAAGGAGAGATATATTTTCCCGCTTCAAAATGTCGGTATTTTGAACAACCGAATCAATACTTTCTTCCAGCATAATTAATTATCTCTGTATGACGATAATATCTAAGAACAATGTTACCTTCTGTCGTAATTAATCATATAACTGAATAAATCGTTCATTACCTTTCTCTTAATAATGAAAATATTAAACAATTTTCCATAATATCAACCTCATGATTTAATATCATTTAAATATTGACGAAATAACGTCCAATATTAATATCAATAAACAACAATAATATTCTCATAGCTTGTGGCATTAATTATGAAAGTGATCTAAATCAGAAATCTAAAAGAAAATAATTTTTCACATATTTTGTATTATATCAATTTATTCTACAATAAAGAATCAACAAATAAAATAATTAAACTGAATTTATAATTATAATGTAATTAAAATGTGAACTCGTTTAACTCATCCAAATAAATATTTGCAATATATGCAAACAAAACATACCTCACTTAACCTGACACATTTATAAATGTATTTTACAACTTTTTCAGAAAATCTCTCTTTAAGAAATTTTCATAGACATTTGAACATTCCAGCAAAGACGAAATCGTTAAAAATGTGTTTCAGGTGAAAAAAGAATTTGACTTGAAATTTTTAGGACATGAAAGTTTACCTGACCGTGAAATTTTTGGTGGTGGGGGAAACGCGCCACCCAACAGGGAGGAAATTACGGTAGGAGGTGGTCCGATTCGGGGTGCGTCATCGTGTTTATTGACTGCGTGTTTCCATTGCAACCCTGTTGCCTTTTATACACTACTATTAACTTCGTTTAATTAATACGCGTTTATTTAATAATTTATTAAACATTATCATATTAAAATTATATACCGTTACCTTTTCCTTTATTCTTTCGCCTGTTTCAATATGACAATTCATATAAATATATCGGAACATGGCCGAAAATTAATTTTGCGAAATAATTAAGTAATTAATAGCGTTTCTTGTTTATTTAAATATTGTATTATTTTATGTAATGGTAAAATGGATAGTGTCTATCAAGTAACCAAAGGTATTCACCGATAGGCTCGTCATTGATTTACTTAACCTCTTCGCCTACAGTATCCAGCGAGGTTGGTGGTATGGGAATCGACCCAAACATGAGTGTAACGGTCGAGAGCCATGGTCTGTAGGTAAGGTCAAACATAAACAAAGGAACAGGCACGTGGTTAAATTTCTCTGATGTCTTTCTGCTCAGTTTCGTGTTATTCTTCGTCGAGTTCGCACGGAATTTTTAAACACGTTCGAATACGTTCGACATGTGACCGACTTTGTTGTTGACTGTGGTATACAGCATTGGAACTTAAATGGTAAGGTAAGAAGTCAATAGTAAGTCTAAATGACGAATAAGTTCTTTATGTTGTATAAAATGCTAGTATAATTTTTAGTTAACGACTAATTCATATTGTACATGAATCTTTGTATATTTATTTCACGAATACCGGTAGTTGGATTAAATTTAATTCTTAAATTCATTGTTCTATTTGGTAGAGGGCTTAATATATATTCTGACTTCTTACACGATCGGTACTGCAGAACACAGAATCGAATCTCAACTGTATTATAAACACAGATAAAAGAAATCTTTCACTTTCTTGCTTAACCGGTATTTTATGACATAGATACATATACTTTCTACTTAGTAGAACACAAGCTATATAGAATGTACACCTCTCCTACGGTAATAAGGTTATCCTATGTCTTATCCACAAAGTAGACTACAGTAGAATTTACCTACAGCGCCATTATAGTCAAATTCTACAATTTTCGTTATTATTTAGATAATTATTTTTAACCACTCATATATACCTTCCTTTAGTTATAAATTATTTAGTTATAAATTCATATTTCATAAATTAAAAAATTATTTCTCGAATACCCCGTAAGGTAACAAGATTGTCACTTTATCGACCTCCGATTAACCCAGTCAACTAGTTCCAGGTACATAGCAAAGGACCCCCTTCGGTCCCCATTCGATCTTTTACCAGACCCCAAAAGGTTGCGCGTCAGGTGGTCTTTTCCCTCTTGTTTTCTCCCCCACCATTCAACGAGAAACATCGTAGCGTACCACCTGCAAGGCGATTGGTCAGTTCAGAGACAGGTCAAACGGCAACACATCGGTTAGCGTTTCTGTCACATTCATCTCTCGTTTCGGAGCGGAGTCGAAGTTGTCGTCGATCGCGTCTCGAATTTATCTCAGGCTGTGCGAGCCACGTGAACAACGAGCGCGCGGTCTCGCGTCTTTGAAAGCGTGCGAGCGGGCCGACCGATCGAGGGAACGGCGAATTCCTGCGTGCTTTAGCCGCGAGCTTTTCAAACAGTGCACATTATGCGCCGTGGTGACGCGAGTGTAGCGGAGTGTTTTGACACGAGCGTGGTGCGGTGATTGCTGTGAAACGTCGCGTTCGATGAATGAAGAAGACACTGTTGCAGACGGCAAATAACGCGGCAGGAACGAACGCCGAGGTGAGTACCTCTGTTTTTCTACCGCGATCCCGCGAATTTGAGGTTAGGTTAGACCCTGTCGGCTCGCACGTAGTATTCCCCTACGGTGGTCTGGAGTGTGCTGCGCTTTTGGCTACGAACAATACCGTCCTTCGAAGGGCCAGGCATCCGGGTCCTCTCGAGTCGAGGCCTAAAAGGGTCCTTTTCACTTCTAAACGATGCGTGCCG